CTTTGTTACTTTTACTTGAGTAAAGAAGTTTAATCAGTACTTCCACTTTTACCAGAGTATTTTTTAACACAAGTATCTGTACTTTTACTCAAGTAAGGAAAGTGAGCACTTTTGCCATCTCTGCCTATTGGAAAAAAAATGTATGACCTTTTACAGGAAAATAATAATTATATCTCATTTTATTTTCTGCTTATGTTCCTTCACATTTTAAGAATGGTTTAATCACTATTAAGTTTTATATATATTCTAACATTTAAGAGAAATCTTTGATAGTGTCCTTTTTCCCCAATGACTCTCTTTATTTGAGCCTACTTATATTCAAAGGTTGCTCTTTTGCTTTGACTGAACTTTGAATCCTGTTGTCTTGTCGTGTTGTGAGACAGAAAAGGCAATTTTCTAAGTCCTGAACAAATGTTCCTAGTTTTGAGCTTATCACATTTTGTCAGGGTGCACACAGCATATCAGAGGGTCAGGAACAGCAGAGAGTCTGCAGCGTAAAGCCAAGGCTGGCTGTGAACGTGTCCATAGGTTCATGAATGTCTCCCCACTGCAGGGTACAAGCACTTCACCTCCAAGAGGACCCATGTAAAGAAAAATGGGCATCTGCACCTGGAAAACAGGAAGGAAAGGTGCAGTCGTACCAATTTTAAGCAAATTTTTAGCAAAGAAAAGTCAGAAAATAACTATGAAACAGAGACATGGGGTTTATTGCAGACTTAATGTATAAACCTTGTTTCTAAATTTGTGGAAATATGTATTTTTTTATGTATGCTATTTAGATTTTTTTTTTAAGTAGTAAATTTCTTTGTAACTGTTTTGAAAAAATAATCTGAGGCCAATCAACAGATTTAGCTTTCAGAATGACAAACAGTGCTGTCAAGTCTTCCTTTTAATGGAAATAAACTTCCAGCAGAACCAGGCTCAGTGTGACTGGTGCTCTGCTGAGGCCAACTGGGGGTTCAATAAGAAAGAAAACTGACATACAAAATGAACATAGAGGCACTGATTTTTAAATATTTTCCATGTAAGAAAAGGTAACAGTAAATTAGCTCCATGGGTAGCTCTGTCTGGATAAGAAACAATTCAGCAGACAAGCTATGAGATAGTTTTCATTTTAAAAGGATGAAAGAGAGTACATGGAATTAGTCAGAGTTAAAGCTGAGCCCAATGTGATGTATAGGTGAGAAACAGGAGTAAACACTGAAAAACGGACGCAATTATACAGCTAAACTGTAACAGACCCGATAAAGCTAACATGAAAAAAAAAAAAAAAACAGAGAGAACATAACTTTAGAGGTTGAACCAATAAATACTGCAGGGTTGGA